GAACATTTTGATATATTATATGTTTTTTTGACATTGTATACAAAAGATATAGTCGTTTTACTTTTTCATCACACTTTTTTGTAAAACATGTCCAAATTTAAGTTTTTAAATTTTCCTAACTTGTAGATGTAGTCAGATAACTACATCTCTAAGGATTTTAATTTTTGAAATTTTTATCATTTTCTTTTATTTTTTCTCAAAACTAAAATGGCGATACACGGGGGGAGGGGGTAGAGTTTGAAAATTGCCCTATAGTCCCGGTTTGTGTCTCCAACCCGGACTATAGGTTAGACCCCTTTAGTGCCGGTTCGTGGCACAAACCGGTACTAAAGGGCTGACCTGACGCCAGCCTGCCACCACCCCTTTAGTACCGTTCGTGGCACGAACCGGTACTAAAGGTTCAACACGAACCGGCACTAATGCATAGTCGTTTGAACTGGGACTAATGGTACCATTAGTACCGGGCCAAAATCGAACCCGGACTAATGTGTCTCACATAAGGTCCTTTTTTCTACTAGTGTGCCCTATCCCTCCTTATATAAGTTGGGAGGAGCGAGTTACATGTGGAGTCCTAATAGGACTAGGACTACTCTAATACAAGTGGAGTCCTAGTCTTGCTTCCTTTGTAGGAGAATATTCCTTATGCCTTTCATCTTAAGCCGGCCCACCACAACACGAGCCGGCCTTCCATGAACCGCCTTTTGGGCCTCCTGGTCTTGTCGCTCCTCTGACCCGCCTGCCAGATCACCAATGAGTCACCTGGCTCGGCCGAGTCATCAGTGAGTGGAGAGATCCAGGCGGGTCACTTAGTGAGTCGCCTAAGTCAGGGTGGGTCACCAGTGAGTCGCCAAGTCCGGTTGGGTCACACCGCAGGGTATATCCCCGACATAGTTGACAAGGAAGTAAGAAGTGTAGTTTTTATATTCATGATGAAACAATCAAACACCTCTTTTCCAATGCAAGATTTACGCATTTTACGTGGCCAGTCATCCAAGTAATGTCCTTTATATCCGCACACAAGTGTTGTCTTATTACCGGCGCTCTGGCTATGTAGAAATGATTTAATTTTCGAGGGCAAAAACACCTCCCATTTGCATGTTATATTCTGTGTACGCACTCGCTTTCTAGATGGTCTATGCTAGAACGAGCGAAGTATCAATCGTTGTTTAAGGTAGTGTGTATGCGTTTGGAGCGGATGCCCAGGGAGGTCGTTACCTAGCTTGGGTGGTGGTATAACCTCCGGATTGGTGCACCACATGCTTTGATAAGGTATAGTGTTGTTCCTATATGGTCCTACTGTTTTTGATATGTCGTCTTTTTTTTCTTCTCTCTATTTGTTTCTGTTTGACTGTGACATCTTAGTTATGCAGATGTTGGGTGTTGCTCATCATGTTTTCTATTTGGTTGATGCTAAATTTTGAGTCAATGAAATGTCCTTTATCAAAAAAAGCTGGGGACATATGGGTGTGTTTTTTTTTTCTGGAGAAATTTCTTATGGGTGTATTAGGTTCCTCGTACCTTAGCTGGGTGGAATTGAAAATGTAACTCCCAGCTTTTTTTTGGACAAACAAGTTTCGACTGTTTGGTGGCAACGTGTATAATTTGGCACCTTAAGCAACGTGTACAAACAAGTTTCGACTGTTTTCTGTAAACCGGCGTATACACCTCTACAACACTGTGTATCAAAATGGGCCGTCCCATGTAGGTCTTTTTTCACTGGTTTTTTAAAGCTTCCAATGAATTTTTTTTGTTTTTCTTGGCGAGTTTTCTTCTGGCTTTTCCCCAGCACCAGGTTTCTCTCTTTTTTTTCTAAATTTTGTGTCTTTAGTTTTTCTTTTTCTTCTTTCTTTCTTTCTTTCGTAATTTATTATTTTCATCGAATTCATGTGTTTTCTAAAACTTTGCATTTTTGAAGTTTTTGTGATTTTTTTAAATCCATGAACTTCTTCTCAAATTCATGAATATTTTTAAAATTATGATTTTTTTCAAATGTTTGTTTTTGTTTTCAAAGTAATGAACATTTCAATATTTTTTCCATTTTTTTTCAAATTATGAACTTTCGCAGTCTTGAACTTTTTTCTAAATTTCATGAGCCTTTAAAATTTTGAACTTTTTTTTTTGAACTTTTGCCGGTTTCATAAAATAAAGTCAAAGGGCAACTCTCCATGGTCAAGGTGTTGCTCAAAGATGCATGCATTAACAAATTTAAAATAAAACACAGCTGGGTCATCCCATGTACTTCCGCGTGTGAGCATCACTTATCTCAACTGGCGCCAAAGGCAGAGGGATCCTTGTGGCATCAGCCCAGCTACCCCGGGTAAGTATCAGGTGATACGGAGCCTTAGATGCTCCCATGATACGAGCTCCTAGGAGCCGTTGGATCTGAGATCCAACGGCTCCCGGAAGGCTTTCAACATTTTGCAAAAAAGTCTTTTGAAGTCCAAAAATTACGAACAAGTACGGCAGCCTTTCAGGACCTCCCAGAAGCCGTTGGATCTGACATCCAACGGACCAGAAGCTCGTATCATGAGAGCACCTAAGACATGGTATCACCTGATATTTTTCCCAGCTACCCCAGCTCGCTCACTCGCTTGCCCAGTCCCAGCTGGCTCACTCGCTTGCCCAGTCCCAGCTGGCTTTCCTGGTTCCACCGGTCGCTTGGTTCGACTGGTCGACCGGTTGTCAGTGATCGCTCACTTTTTCAAAAAAGGTTCAACTTTAAAAAAAATCAAAAGAAACTGAAAATGTGTTTGCATTTTCGACAACATTTCATGAAATTGACTAGAAGAAACATTTCATATTTTTTAAGGGAACCGTAACAGAAAAAAAGAAAAAACACAACAAGAAAAAAGTGAAATAAATGAAAAATAAAAAAGCAAAAGAGAAGAAAAAAGAAACATAAACATAAAAGAAGAAAACGACGGACGCAAGAAGACACAATCACTATGATGAAAGAGTATTACAAGCACGAGACAACATGTCATTTTTAGATGCGACTACATGGGATATATATGAGGGCAATACATAAGAGTTCTTGGAGGACAAGTAAACGAGTTGTAGTCGTACTCATCGGTACCAACGCAATGCCCACACCTGTTATACTACGCCTAGTCCAACACGACACTAGAATTTGGATCACACTCACTTCACCTTGAGCCAAATTCCTTCTAGTAGTCGAAGAAAGTAAATAACTCAATTTAGATCAGCATAAACACCTTATGCGTCAAAGTCCATATAACTAGTGAGAAATACCAACTAAGGCCGAGCAGAGCTCAAACTTATTGGTAGGAACTGACTTTGTCATCATATCAGCAGGATGATCATTTGTACTTATCTTGCATACCTTGAGCAATAACATCTCAAATATAGTGAAACTTGACATCAATGTGCTTTATTATCTCATGATACATAACCTGTGAGCGATCTTCTCTTATCCAAATTACTAGCAAAATGAGAATCAACAAAACCAACAAGTCCATCTCCAGTTTTCCCAAACTGTAAATAGGCATTAGAAGTACCTCACAGTATCTGAAAATCCATTGAACTGCTTCCCAATGCTCTCTTTCAGGATTAGCCATGTACCTACTAACAACACTCAATGCATATGATAAATTAGGACGAGAACAAACCATAGCATACATAAGTGAACCAACTGCAGTTGAATAGGAAACTCTAGACATGTACTCAATATTTACATCAGACTTAGAACATAAAGCTGACGACAATTTGAATTGTACAGCTAATGGAGTACTCACCGGCTTGGCATTATGCATATTAAAACGAGGAAGAACTTCATCAATATTTCCCTTCGGACTTAGATATACTTTTCAAGACGGTCTATCTCTGAATATTTCCATGCCAAGTATTTTCTTTGCTACACCTAAATCCTTAGTATGCATTGCCGGAGTCGTCGGGGCGAGCTCGTCGAAGAATATGATGTATGCTCGATCTGCCTTTGCCAAGCACCGTTGGTTGGCCTTGGTCTCGCGCTCGTTAGCGATGGATCGCTTGAAAGCTCACCGGACTTGCATCCCCTCTATTTCGGCGGCGAGCCGGGTGATCGACTCCACGCTTGAAGCGCTCCGACGTGAATGTCAATATGAGGAGTATAAGTAATTTAAGAGTTCGGCTAGATGCCCTTTGAAAGCTATATTTTCTGGATTTTAATTTTAATTTTAATTTACAAGAAGAATAAGAATGCCCCAGCCCCCCAAAAGAAATGAAAGAAAGAAAAGAAGTAGAATGGAGAAAGGAGATAAACGGCGTCCGTTGAATTTGACTGAACGCAAAAAAATATTCACGCGGATAGAAAACTTTTTTTCCCACCTGCTCCTCTCCCTTCCACTCTGCTCACTTGCCGTAGCTCTCCATCTGGCCGCCGCCGCGGCCGTCGTCGCTGTCGCCGTCGCCGTCGCCACTTCTTCTTCTTCCTGTCCTCCTGGCCAACCTCGGCCTCGCAGAACCGGAGTCAACCTAGCTCAGCCTGCCTCCTTTCCTCCGCTTCTGCCTCCTTTCCTCCGCTTTTGCGACCGGGATGACGGTGCGGTGTGCTACCAACCTAGAGCTATTGCAAGGTATGCCATTCCCCCCTTCTCCCTGTTCCCCTCATTTCCTTAATTGTCTAGTCCAAGATTAGATCTTGGATCTTGGATCTTGGATCTTGGATCTAGAACGGTTGCAGCTCCAAATGTGCAGGCTAGAGATTTGCTCTGCTCTCTGCTCCAAATGCCATGTCTGGTCAGCATCGATTTGATCTGATTCTACTACTTGAATGAATATTCCTTCTCCTTCATTACACTAGTATATATGATAATCCTTGCATCTCCTTTAATGTGCCCAAATCAATCGTTTGGTGCAGTTCCACTTTGTACTTTCTAGAGTCTAGACCACCACCAACAGTGCAGAGCTAAATCTCCATCAGGTACGCATTTTCTGACTACCAATTTCTGCAAGCCCATCTAGATCCAATAAATCTAATTTTACCATGCCCTAAGTTCTGAATGCGGGGCGAAACTGTGCTGGAGCGTATACTTGAAGGAGACGAGGAACCCAAGGATCTGCCATTAGCACTCCTACAGCACATCACCAATGATTTCTGTGAAGAGAGAAAAATCGGTCAGGGTGGATTTGGGGACGTTTACAAGGTATAGTCTACCGTTTACAAAACATCACGGATTCGATTATAAAGCAAAACTTTTAGTATTGTAAGGCTGAGCATCACTTACAAACCTACCAACAGGGCGTACTCCGGAACGGGCTTGCTGTTGCTGTGAAGAGGATACATATAAATGTAGACGCAGTCGATGACAAGCTTTTTCGCCGTGAGTTTAATAGCCTATGGAAGACCAATAATCATCAAAATGTAGTCCGCTTTCTTGGCTTCTGTTCTAATTCATATCAGATACGGATACAAGAGGCTGGACCAGAAGAAATTAAATTGGCCAATGTGAGAGAAAGATTGCTCTGTTTTGAGTACATCAGCAATGGAAGCCTTGATAAGCATATTACCGGTACGTTCTTATTGCATTTGATGCAGCTCTTCTCTTCTTTATTTCTTTGCCTTAATGCCCTGACCACTTAGTGCTGAGTTTTCAAGTCATCACCACCAGTTAGGTACAGACACGAATTGGAAATGTTTTATCATTGCTGGGCATGTTGTTTAACATAACCCCTCGCTTTTTTATGTGTTTATTCTTCTGCAGATGAATTAAGGGGACTCGAATGGGAAACACGCTATGGCATAATCATCGGAATTTGCAATGGTCTGTGTCATCTCAAGGAAAAAAATATTATTCATATGGACCTCAAACCAGCAAACATATTACTGGATGATCATATGGTCCCCAAAATCACAGATTTTGGTTTGTCAAGGCCAAATGAAAGCTCACATACAATTGGTCAACGTTTTGGAACACGGTAAGATATGCATCACAAGAGCCACTAGTTAATTGACATGTTTCTATCATACAGCCCTACGTTTACTTTCTGTCATATTTTCTTGCAGAGGATATCTCGTGCCGGAGTACGAGAATGCTGGCAAAACTTTGGTCAAGTCTGACATATATAGTTTGGGTGCCATAATTATTGAATTAGTAACGGGATGTATGGGTGCCCCTGACAAAATAAATGTAAGGATGTTTTCTCTCACTTTGTACAACTGAGACAATGTTTTGCATGCATCTTTTTTTTTTCATTTTAATATGCATACTATCGTACTGAGTGACATATTTAATTTAAGCAACATGTTTCTGGATATATATCACGCATGGGTGGATGTTTTTTTTTTTGTGTGTGTTGAGGTGAAGTGATGCACTTCCTTTGATACACACACTGCGAGGCTAACATCTGGCTTTGAACTAAAAAATTGTCAGGTGGATACACTCATACACACATCATGATATTGACACCGATAATTAACATTCTGTTAAATGTAGGTACTTCGAAGGTGGAGACACAGGTGGAGTAAGCCACCGACGTTAAAACAATACCAACAAGTAACTAGATGCATTGACATAGCAGCACGTTGCAGGCAGCAAGAACCGGGACTTAGACCTTCTATATTGGAAATAATCAGCAGCCTGATTGGACCTGAAAGCACGGATGTGCACACTGGCCAGGTAGGCTAGCTAGTTTAAGATACCTTGTAATCAAACTATCGTTGGATTAATTATTCAATGCTAATGATCAGAGAGATAGGTAATCTCAACCCTGCTAGGTTAGCTTAATCCCAAAATTTGTGTTTGACAATGATCCTAGTTACCCTAAATTACTGGTCGGGTTGTTAATTTGTTGGGCTAGCAGTAGAAAAAACGAATTTAGAAGGCTCAGGGTGTCTTTGGCCGAGATGCAGTTCTAGGGTGCAAGGGAAATCATAGCCAAAGCCAATGCTGCCCAGAGCTGTGTTTTACTCTCTCTATCTGAACAAATAAGCATTGCTAGTTTTGACCAAGTTTCTATAAAAGAATAGTGGAATAACAAGACTACAAGAGATTTAACATGCTGACTAGTGGGCCTCTTTAAGGAATCAAAATCTGAGTAATGCATCACTAGAGTGAAGACACGTCCTCTCTTTTTCCAACCATTCCTCAACCACCACTTTACTCCCAAGTATTCATGTGGACGATGTTTTTGACCACTTCACTCCAAGTATCTAGAGTGAAGACATTTATACGTTTTTCGTTACTATCAGCGGCATCAACTAGCAAAGTGGTGTCATCGTCTTATAGAGCCAGTTTTATGGTCCTCCCCATCAGTTGTACTCATCTCTGATGCCCCAAACATGTTGCCGCTCCTGGTTCTCTGATTGATTTGCAAGGGTAGGAACAGCATGTGTTGTTTGATTGGGTTGCTTCTGTAATATTGTTCCACCAACATATACCTGCTACCATATCTTATCCTCACATAACACTTCATTGACATGAATTCATCATCTTTTGTCTCCATAAACATAGAAGTTTTTATTTGAATAGTATAAACACAGGAGTTTAGTTCAAAATACATGTAAAACTTTTTGCCTCCGTATGTACAGCTCATGAAATGGAGGGAGTATACATCATTTAAACACATATAGCTCTTCCCCTGCAGGTAAGCCCTTATTTTGATGAAGATGACATGCTAGGGATTAAGCCACTCGAACTACGGCTTTCTTCCAAGCTTAAGGAGGAGATATCATGCTTCACGGTTGAACTAACCAATGATACACGTAGTTGCATTGCCTTCAACATCCAATTGCCAAGCAGACAACAATACAACGCACAACCAGACATAGGCATCGTGCAACCACAATCCAAGTATGGTGTGAAGATAACAGTACAAGCACGAGATGCTCATGAGCACGACCATGCCGACAAGTTCATCGTGCAGAGCATGAAACTGAGTGACGGTCTTAGAGATAAGGTTATCACAGAAAGCATGTTCCATGAAGAAGCCGGTAGAGTTGTTGATGAGGTGCATTTGATGGTTGTATATGTGCTTACAAAGCCCCAAGAAAACTGCAAGAGTAGAGAAGACACCAACATGCCAGAGGAAGTCCTCGAGGTGATCAATTTGACCCGTCTTAATGTGTTTGTATGTGTCTTATGTTTTTTTATCTCCTGGACTGTTTCTTCACGAATTAATTTCCATGCTCACAGGTGAAAAAAAGGAAGATTGTTGATTCTGCTTCCGGAAAGGGCAAACTTGTTAGCAACGAAAATGTAGAGACAAGCTTAGTCAGGCACAAGGACATCAATTCAAGCACGCGAGAACATTATACCGAGCAAACAGAGCGGTATAAATTCTACCCACCACGGAGTTTTTCATGCCATTATCCAACCAACACGACATACCTAGGGAAAGGGAGCCGAGCCTTGGATGTTGCAAGGGGGGCTATGGGCAGCCTACTCGACAAGCTGGGCAAGCTCGTCAAGGAGGACTACAATCTGGAGAGGAGCATGAAGAGAGATATTGAGTCTTTTTCAGAGGACCTGGCAAGGATTCACAAAGACCTCCCTAAGCTGGAAAAGCTTGACGGGCTCAAGATTTGGATTGATGAAGTCAGGGAGCTGTCATATAACATTGAGGATATGGTCGACAGCTTCCTGTTGCACGTCGAGCTTGACTCCAGTAGCAGTGGCTTCAGAGAGTTCCCGCATGAGGGGCTAAAGTTCTTGGAGAATGACATGACGACTCAAAGTCAGATTGGTGATGTTATCAGAAACATCAAGAATCATGTTCAGGCCGTGGCTGACAGGCAAAAGAAGTACAACTTCAGTGTCAACGATGTCATAGCTGATCCAACTGCCAAAGCTCCCATTGACCCTCGGATGCCTAAATATATAAATAAAAAACAGCTCGTTGGCATCGAATCACCAACAGAAGAGCTAATAAGGTTGTTTGGGGAGGATGGCGGTGTATCAAAGCAAGAGCTCAAAATAGTCTCCATAGTTGGATTGGGAGGACTGGGCAAGACCACACTTGCCAGGGCAGTATATGACAAGCTTAAGGCACAATACCATTGTAGAGCTTTTGTTTCAGTAGGCCAGAATCCTGATGTGAAGAAAGTTTTGATGAATATTCTCTTTGCACTTGGAAAAAAATTCAATGACTTGGATGTGTCGCAGCTCATCGAGGAACTCCAAAAATTGCTTGAGGATAAGAGGTACACATCACCCCTCCTCCCCCTCAACACACACACACACACACACACACACACACACACACACACACACACACACACAGAGACACATCAGCACATGCTGATGAGAGTAGACAGGCAAACTACATTAATTCAAGAATTCAAGTTCAAAATTTTCTTGATGACTCGGCATGGCTTTTTTTTACTTTGTCCTAATTTGCATGCATATATGGTTGTAGCATCCACTAATCCACACCTGTTAAACTAGCAAAGACAACCTTCACCCTAACTTATTGTTCAGCTTGGTGTCTGTCCACAGAATTGAGCAAGTAAAATGATGGTCTTTATTCCCCAATGGCGGTCTTTTCGTTGTCTGGACAGCACTATTTTACACTGGGCGAAGTTATTAACAAAACCTACCCTTTTCACGATTTCTGGACTAAATTTGTACGACGCAAGTATCGGATCGTATAATAGATGTCAAAAAGAACATAAACACAACAATTAGTCGTGAATTGCTAGGCAAAGCATTGGAAAATTGCAACATTACAAAAATGTCACAAAAATTATACCGATGTTAAACTTAAGTTTATCTTAGTTGTATTTAATGACTATTGTTGTATTTTACAGTGTAAGCCAACAACATAGGCAGTATTTGAACATCACCATAAATTTGAAAACCAATGATGTAAAAATACCTTATGTGCAAATGGTAAATAGCAGTTCTCTCTTTGCATGTGTGCGGAGAAAAAGCAGTCAGGGCAGCGAGGGCTGAGGTGTAGCCAGTCAGGGTCGAGGCGGTGGCCAGAGTGGCCAGCCGCCGGTGAGGGGAGGTTGGGGTGGAGCTCTCGCTCTCACACATGGCTGCATTGCGATGAAATAGCCGTCCAGCCAATGGATACTTTTGTAGGTTTACACAAATTTCATAGTGGTTGTCGAAATACATCCACATGTAGCGGATATGATTTACTTAGATATATGAAAATGTAAGTGAGCCTCTGCTAACTTTACTAATTGGTCCCACTACTACCTCGTTTCTTATCTATATGGCATTTTCTTTTTTTTGCAGATACTTCATAGTAATTGATGATATTTGGGATTCCGAAGCATGGGATCCTATTCAATCTGCTTTTCCAGAAAACAGCCTTGGCAGTAGAGTGATAACAACAACAAGGATTCATCCTGTTGCTCTTGCCACTTGCAGTGCTGAAAGCAAATTTGTTTATAGGATGAAATCACTCAGTCCTGAAGACTCAAGAAGATTATTTTTAAGAAGAATATTTGGTTCTGAAGAAGCTTCGCCTGATACACCCAGAGAAGAAGAGATTTCAGTTGATATTCTGAAAAAATGTGGTGGTATGCCACTTGCTATCATCAGTATAGCAAGCCTTCTAGCTGGTGAGCCAGCGTCAACCTGGGATTATGTAAGAAAAACTATGGGTGCTATGACTGAAGGAGATGATGTTGAAAAGATGAAGCAAATTTTGGATCTTAGCTACATACATCTTCCTGATCATCTTAAGACATGTCTGCTTTATGTTTGTATGTATCCAGAGGATCGCGAGATAGATAAATTTGATTTGTTGAGGCAATGGGTGGCTGAAGGTTTCGTGATTACAAACGGCCGGCTGGATGCAGTGGATCTTGCAGAGAAGTACTTCAAAGAGCTCATCAATATGTGTATGATCGAACCTGGGAAGGTAGATGACTACAACAATGAAGTGTTGTCTTGCAGAGTACATGATATAATTCTTGATCTGATGAGATCCAAGTCAAGCAAGGAGAATTTCATCCATGTAATTGATGGTTCGAAAGATGAGACTGGGCAGATCCGTCGAGTCTCATTCCACTACAATGATAAAGAGGATACAGGGATTTTAGGAACTATCAACAAAGGTTCACTATCACATGTTCGGTCAGTTTTACTTCGCCGAACCTCGCTTGTGCCTCGTTTTCTGGAGTTCCAGTATGTCCGAGTTCTACACCTTGAGCTTGAGTTATCTTCCATGGACCTATTAGATCTCACTGCTTCAATAGGTTGTTTCTCCTAAGGTATTTAAAGGTTGCACCTCTTAGACTATTTGGATATTCGCTGAAGCTACCTAATAAAATTGGAGGACTACAGCAATTGGAGACAATAGATCTACATTGGGCTTCCTTGGAAAATTATCCCTCAGATATTGTTAGTTTGCCCTGGTTATCGCATCTCAGCTCGACGGGAAATGCTAGAGGTGGTATAGCGTTGCCTGACAGGATCGACAGGTTGACATCCCTGTGCACCCTAGAAGGTGTTTGTATTTATAGAAGCTCGGTAGAGAATATCAAGGGCCTTGGCAAGCTGACCAACTTAAGAAAACTTGCGATCTGTTCGGCCAAGTTTAGGCAATCGATGGAAGAGGAAGAGGAAATTATGCGTGTGGATACCTTGCACTCTTCCATCTGCATGCTCGCCTCCAACCTCAGGATCCTTACTTTTGGAATATCATCTGAAGTTTCCATGCCGGATGTCGG